GATCTCAGGCAATTCCTCAGTGGAATTCTTGGGGTGTCCCTTGTCCAAGAATTGCTCGTCACTGCGTCGGGTGTCTGTTGAATATGGAGACGCGGTCTGTCTGTCCCGGAAACCCAGGTTGTCCTCGAGGTGATGATGTTCCTAACTTCCATCGGTTTTGCGAGCATGGGAAATAATGGTCTTTCCGGGCATATGAAGATCATCATGGTCGGCCATGATTAGTGAGAGAAATCTTTAAAAAGTTTCTTTGATCTTAAGTTTTGAGGAAAGAAAGATGTGGAGAGCAGTTTCTCATAGACGATGCCACTGATCTTATCGGTTGATCAGAACCTGAGAAGTAGCCGGAAGATGATCTGTTTTCAGACTGTGAAGTCGAGGAGAAAGGGGGGTTGTACCTGCAAGGCACTTCGACGATCAAGTAAGAATGGGAACAAGGAGATACAAGCAAAGTATTAGGTGGTGAGTAGTAAGTATTTAATACCTGGCCCTTACAAGTGTGAGGGTATATATAATACCCCTGGCGCGTGAGCATTGGTTCCTGATTTTGCGCCTAGATATGCGAGTCCGTGAAATCAGGTAACTTCCAAGACTTGTTCAAATCAGGGAGATGTGCTCGTCACTGGCCGTTGGTCCCAAGGAGGGGGTCAGTTATGGGCATCTCTCTAGTCGGTTCCTGGTGGCCTGCACGACGTTGATGTCGGGCAAGCTAAGAGGGTGCTCGTCGATCATCCTGGGCCAGTGCTGGTTCGGGAGGTAAAATGGCTGACATTGCCCGACAGCTAGCGAGAAATCTGGGTCATGGTCGTGCGGGTCGTACCAGAGGAAATGTCTTAGACCGGGCCCAGTCAAGTTGTCGGTCCAGTCTAGAACAGAATCCAATTCATTTGGGTAATCATATGTTGTAAAATTCTTTGGCAAACTGGGAATTCGAAGTGGCATGTGAAGATCCTGAATGCGTTTCTTAGCGTTTTGGTGAAGTGTTGGCAAATGGAGGAAAGCGGCTAATGTAATTGCACCTGAAGTGTAGTAAAAGTAAGTCGAGATTTCAAGTTTTGTGGCTATTTGATAGGTACTATAGATGAAGTAATATAATATAACAACTTTGAGGTTTGTGGTTTTGGAAACGGATTGAAGAATGTTGTTAATATGATGGTTGCTTTGTGGAGAGATTTAAAAGGTAATAAAATGTGTTAGAAGTGTTGTAGAGGATGAAATTGGAGGAATATAATAAAAATTGATCGAAGGAAATGTGGCTGAAACTGATATTATGTAGTGTTCTTGTGGAGAAAGAGTGGTGTCTTTGTTGTTGGTGTTTTTGTTGGGTGGTGTAAGAATGAGAATTGTGATGGAAAATGAAGGCTGCTGAGTTACTATGAGTTTTCCTAATTTAACCATAGACATTAAGTGTCCACTAGCTAGAGCTGGATAAAGAACTATATTATCCTTCATGTTTGAGAATTTTAGCAGATGGATGCATATTCTTTTTGAGGTGAACTCAATTTTGTGTAGTTAGAAAAAAGAGAGAAAACAAGGTGTATTTAAGGGTAACTCATTTGACTCTCAAATCTAAAAAAATATGTTTTATTGCTTATTAATAATATGATATATTTAACTATTCTAAAAGAAAAATCAATACGTTAGATTTGTTATTGATGAATGCGTTGATTTTAGAATGTTTTTACCGATAATAACAATTATATATAGTAATAATTATATAATAGTAAATAACTAATCACAATTGCAAATTACGCAACAATAAAAAGTATACTTTTTTTCTTAATTACTAAACATTTTTAAAATCCAATGCATCATTAATTATAAATATATCAATAATAGAGAAAAAAGATAAAATAGAATGAGTGAGAATTAAAAATGTTATAAAAAATGATATTAATATAAATAACCAAATTTATTGGTTGTTTGTTACTATCACAAATAAAAGAGAACTCATTTTAAGTTTAAAAAAAAAGAAGACAATCGACCAACTCAAATAATGATACTTTCTTTTTTACTTTAACTGTCTATTTCATTTTTACAAAAAGAAAATGTCTATTTCATTTTTGTCAAAAAAATGTCTTTTACTTTAACTGTCTATTTCATTTTTGTCAAAAAAAAAATGTATTTCATTTTTGTCAAAAAAAAAAATGTATTTCATTTTTATAAACGATATTAATTTTATAAATAATTGTAATTTTAATTAATACTATGTGTCGGTCTCAATTAACTATCCTCAATTTATATTTTGATATTAGTAGGAATATTAAATCGTAATAATTAATTATCCAATAGAATTCAATTCTCTCACTTATTATATTTTTTGATACGTGTCTTTTTTTAAAAAATATTTATTATTTTAGAATAAACAAAATGTTAGGAAACTAACTATATTTAATAAAAAACTATAAAGATATATTATGAATAGAAATAATAATAGTAAAGTAAAAAGTAGATGTTTAAATTTAATATTCATTATTATTAAATATTTTAATTAAAAAACTTTATAAAATAATTTGATTAAAAAATATAGTAATTGATTTTATAATAATTTTCAAAACAATAATTTGATAATAATAGTTTAATCTATAAAGTTGAAAAACAAATTATTATTATAAAAAATGAAAATCATATTTCATAAAAATACAATTAAATTTTGATATTTTATAACTAATGTGTAAACAATTCTGAAAAATTATTATTTGGTGTTTAAAAAAGAAACATAAATAACTTTAGAATATTTTTTATAAATTTTAACAAAAGTTTACATTTTTCTGAAGATTGATTCAGATTTTTTTTAATGAGTTGGTATATTGGAAATGTTATTTTTTTGAGATTTTTTACGAACATTTGTAAAATAGTTATTAATTTATTTTAATTAGTAAAATATTCTATTTTATAAAATCTCACCCCTGTGCATGCTATTTGAAGAAGTGATTAGATTCCAAAAACACGGAGAATCATTGTTTAAATTTTTATTTAAATGGTTTGAATTTTTTTGTTAAGAATTTAAATAGTATGATAAAACTTTTATAATTTTTTATATAAATTTCAAATTATTTTAATTATTAAACTATATCCATTAAGTTGTGTTTGTTTTATATTCAAATTAAAGTATTAGATTTTTGTTTTAAATGAACTTATGTTTTTAGAAAATCCATTAAATATCTGTACTCAGTCTCAAACAAAATAGGTATTTAATGTTGTGTATACAACATTTAATTTTAATTACTTCAATAATTTTTTCTTTTAAACATAATATTAAATTTTCAAATATAATAAAAATATTGGATCATAATTATTTGGTAAGTTAAATATTAAAATACTCTTTTAAACAATGCCAAGTTTCCATCCAAATTCATTGTTCTTGTGTACATTAAATAAATGTGATAGAAAGAACACGCACAAAAATTTTAAAAAATAATTTATTATGTTTTTAAAAAATAGCCGTACCGTTCTTATATGTCCAAAACACAACTTTATTCACCTAAGTTTTATGTGTCTAAAACAAAAAATTGTTACACGCTTGCATTATCTAAACTTCTTCTTTCACTATCAAAACTCACAAACATAAATCTCTAATCTTTATTATTCTATTCTTTTTCAAGATTAAAGTCAATAATTGATCCACAAACAATAAATTCACCCATATGTTCATCATGGTTAATATCATTAAAGATATTAAAAAAATAGAAAAAAAATTCGGTGGTATTAGTGATCCTTTCATGCATAGAAATAGTCACAATATCTTAAAGTTATGTCTATCATTAGTGATTGTCAATAACGCGTCTTTGAGAATCTAGTTGATGTGTTTTTCTCTTTCTTGGTCTCACTTATGAGCACCCATCATTATCTATCTCCCCAGTGCCTTTCTCGTTCTCCTCTGTGTACAATAGTTTCAGTTGATAACCATATAAACCATGAAACCAAAAGTTTTTCTTATGAATTTTAAAATTTTATCTTGGCCATATAAAGTTTAACTCACCATGATTGAATCCATATTCACTTGTTTGATCACGGGTAATGTAACCACTATGTAGTAAGGGAAACACCCAAAACCTAAGACATAAATCTTTTTATCTCTCATTTGAGACATTTCATGTACTATACATAGTTTATAGAAACCTTTATTACTATTACATAAGTTGACAAAATTTCTTAATATAATAATTAAATTACAAATTCTTAAATAAAAAATAAAAATGAAAGAATAAAGTCAGTAAGATTCTGTAAATTTAAAAGATATTTTATTCACAACTTTTGCAGCATTTTATTATTATTATTTTAATAAAACAACTTGTTAGTATTCTAAAAAGATTGGTCTTATTTTAGCCAACAATATGTTTATCACACAAAAAACAAGGATTAATCAATCAACTAGATGATGTTGTTTCTTTTTGCTTGAACAATTGAATCAACTTGGTTAAATCAACAAATAAACTTCCATTTTGATCTCTTGTTTCCTTAGAACTTAATTTGGTCTTGAAAATCATTTGTCTAATCTCGTTTCCTTTATATGAGTCCATCAATTCCTTAATTCGGTCTCCTAATTCAATTCCACTCACAAAACCATCTTTTGACTTGTTCAGTTCCAAAATCACCTTCATTTCTTCAACCAATTTCATGTTGTACGGACTTTGTTCAGCATACAAAGGCTAGGCCACCATAGACACACCTTCAAAAAAAAATTCCAACACCGAGTTCCATCCACAGTGAGTCACGAATCCACCAATTGAATCATGACTAAATATTGCACCTTATGGAGCCCAATTTCTTACCACTATTCCATTTTCCTTTGTCCTCTCCAAAAACCCTTCTGGTGACAAGTCTTCCAAATTGAGCTCTTCCGAGTCAAATTCACTTCTAACAATCCACAAGAATCTTTGCTTACTTTTTTCCAAACCTATCTCTTTCAATTGAGCCTTAGAAAATCTCGGCATGCATCCAAAACTTAACAACATGACACTTTTACTCGGTTGCAAGTCGAGCCAACGCAGACACCCATTTTACATCTCCACCATAAGAAGATGTAATCGAGGTCCAATAGAGAAAATTGTAGGAGTAGTTCCATTTGGACCAAACAATCCTTTATTTAAAGATTCAAGCGCTTTTCCTTCAATATAATCAAAAGAGTTCACAAAAATTCCAATACTTTTTGTCATAGTTTTTATAGATTCAAGCATAATCTTGAATTCGTCACTCTCAGAATCCAATTCATCTGGGTAATCAGCTATTGTAAAATTCTTTGGCAAATCAGGAATTCGAAGTGGCATGTGAAGATCCTGAATGCGTTTCTTAGCGTTTTGGTGAAGTGTTGGCAAATGGAGGAAAATGCCTAATGTAATTGCACCTGAAGTGTAGTAAAAGTAAGTGGAGATTTCAAGTTTCATGGCTATATTACGCACTATATGAAGGGGTGAAAAACACAAGAAGGGGGGGGTTGAATTGTAAAACTGGAAACTTAAAGCAAATGACAAGGTATTTTTATCCTGGTTCGTTTGATCTCAAACTACTCCAGTCCACCCGTTCAAGGTGATTTCGCCTCTCTCCAACGAGGTCTTAATTCACTATATTCAACTGAATACAAATCTGCTTTAGCACCTGCTAAAACCTTCTTGATTCAAACCACAATCTGGTTTGTCAAGGCAACACTTTCTTACAAAGGTATAATCAAATGTGTGTGAATGTTTCTACAAAACTATATCACAACTGTGATGTTTACACAAATGAAGCTTAGAATACTAGGATGCTAAACGCTAATGAAGTATCAGAGTTTGTTGGTTTAGCAAAACTTGTAGAGTGAAGATTATTGTTCAGCTTTGTGCGTGTAGAGAGTTTGGAAGCATTAGCCGTGATAATCTTCAAAGCTTGGTTTATATAGCACTTGAGAAGATGAACGTTGAAGCAAATATTCTTGATTCAATGCTATTAACAAGCTTTCCTTTTTGAGCAGATCTTGTCTAGAATGATGCCGTTGGTATTGATTAGCTTTCAATGCACAGTACCGTTGCTTCTTCAATGCACGATCTGGCTTGGCTCATTCTGATTCTGCTTCGCTGCTGATGAACTAATTTGTTTCTGTATCAGAGTGTTTTACGCGCAGTTCTGTTCATCAAGCTTCAGCATGTGCAAGCGTTGATCATCTGATCTTGACGTTCTGATTCAGCAACTTCTGATGCTGATGTGCAAACTCATATTCTGATGCTGAAAACGTGATCTTGCTTATGTTAATCAGCATATCTGCAAGTCAGAGCATAGTAATTTTTAGGCAGCATATAATTCAATCATAAAATATTTAACTACTATATCTTTTCACTTTGTTATCATCAAAACTTAAATATAGGGTACTAGATTCAAACATTGTTCTAACAATCTCCCCCTTTTTGATGATGACAAAAACTAGATATTTTAAATGAAAAATAACGTGAAAAGTTATCAGATCTATGTATCAGAATAAGAAGTACGGAGAAGTCAGAGTTAAGAGATACTCCCCCTGAGTTTGTTACTTCCCTTTGATATGTGTGTTCTTCAGAGTCAGATCTTTTTCTATCTTTGAGCATCAGATTATAAGTCTTTGACTTATCAGAAAGCAGAGCTTCAGAGCTTTTCCTGTCAGAGCTTTGCTTCGGATCAGAGTGTTAGGTCGATCAGATCTTCATATATCAGAACTTCATATTTGATCAGAGCAACATGAGCTTTTATGTTTTGATCAGAGCTTCTAGTTCTTAGTCTTCATAGTGTTCAGAGCTTCCTTGTGCCTGTAGACTTAACAACAAAACAGAAAAACATTTCAAGTAATAGAGTTAGAATGTTTGAGAATTTCTGTCTAGTTAGCCGTTATTGATTTTAAATATCATTCTTGTTCTCCCCCTTTTTGTCAGCAATCAAAAAGTGTTAGTGATGTGCTAAAACAATTTAGATCAGAAAAACAAATTATATTAAAAATAGTTCAGATCACAAGAGCATTACACAAACATAGTCAAAACATAGTCAAAAGTACATCAGAAAATGAAGAAAAAATAGAGAATGTCATGCATGAAAAAATTTCAAGGTTGTGGGGGCATGCGTGAGAACAGGCTTTCCAGCATTGCTTGAATCTTTTCAGAAGTTGCATTCTGCTTCTGAACCATGGTGACAACAGTATCAATTTTGCTGTCCTGGACATTCATTCTTGCTTCCATCTTCTGATTATTCTCATCCATCCGCTGCTGTAGACGCAAGTCATTCAGCCTTAATTCTTCCAGAGCCTGCCTGTCCAAGGCAGCTTGAGAACTTTCAGCAGGAGGAGGCTTCTCAGAACTTTCAGCTACATCTTCTGTTGGATTCTCTTCCTGAAGAGTCTTGTCTTCTTCTGAAGGTTGCACCTGTGCAGCTTGCTCTTTCTCAGACCACGATTCAGAGTCCAGAGGGAGCACAACTTCTTGAGGCAGCTGACTCTCAACTTCCTTCAGCAGCTTGCTAAAGTTCTGTTGAGCCTGCTCATAGTTGACGTCCTGCAGCTTGAGTGCTTCAGAACGAACCCATACTCTGAACTGTGACCAGAGCTGATCAGAAGCAGCTGGGTCGATCATCCCGGGACAGACTTGCTTCAAGGAAGCAATCCACTGCAGCATACCTGTTTCAAAGTCCAAAATACCAGAGCCAACATCTAATTGCTTTGGTTTGGGAATGGCCAATTTGTGTCTTAAATCAGCAAGACGTTCAAGACTTGTTAAGTCAATGAAAGTTTTGCTGGGGTTTTCAGAGGATTGGCTTTCAGAGGTGTGCTGAGGTGCTGTTTGTTTTGGTGGATGGTTATCAGAGTCAGAGGATATGTCTATTGGAGTGGTTGGAGTTTTTGGAGGTGTTGATTCCTCTGATGATGGTAACTGGGGTCTGACAATGGTGGTTCCACATGGCAACTGTATTGCCAGCGGTGAAGGTTGAGGTGAGTGGGGATCAGAATGATGAGGAGATGGGGTTTCATAGCGATGAAACTCTGTTTGAGGTGAGGGAGGATTATTTTCTGGTTGAGGAGGTGGAACTTCTGATTGCTCAGGGATCAGAGGTTCTTCTGTGATAGGTTGTTGTGATTGTGGTTCTGATTCTTGTTGTGGTTCTGGTTGTGGTTGAATTTCTGGTTCAGGTTGTGGAGGAGGAATATTTGGTGGTTCAGAGTGAGGTTGAACAGAAGTATGTTCACGCTCAATATCAGCTAGCACTCTATCAAGTGCTGGTGTTGTTGAAACAGTTGGTTGTTGTTTGGAAATTTTAATGGGAATTTTAATTCTGGTTCTTCTGAGTTGTAAGGCCTCAGAAGGGTCTTCTGGTATGGTTTCATCAATAGTGGGGATTGGAATGGAAATTCTGTGAGAGGTTGGAGGCGGAGCAACAGATGTTGGAATAGTAGAGGAAATTGAAATAGGAGCAGCAGATGAATTACCTCGTTTCTTTGGAGTCTGGTGAGATGATCCTTCTGCTTTCCTCTTCTTTGACTTCTTCTGAGTCACTTCAGGTTGAACTTGACTCAGATCTTTGATCTTCAGCTTGGAACCTGCAACTTCTTCCTTGTGAGAATCTGGATACTTGGCAAACATGTCAGGATGGGATTCCATTTCAAAAAATCTTGGGAAATCACTCAGAGGCACTCTTCTTCTGGAGATGTCAGCAGTTGAAGAAGCTCTGGGTTCCTTCCTGATATTGTCTATCAGCTTCATCTTTTTCAGATTCTTGGCATTCAGCGGTTTTCCAACAGTTGGTTCAAAATTGCCCAGTACTTTAGCTTCGCTCAGATAATCTATCAGCTTATTCTCTGTCAGAATATCTGATATGAGCCTCCCAAATGGTATCCAGTCCCTTTTGGTCCTTTCTTCTTCTCTAGTCTCTTTCACACTAGTCTTCAGATGATTGAACAGGAAGTGTGCCAAATTGATCTTCACCCTCTGATCAATAAAGTAGATCAGAAATTGCTGATCCACGTTTATATAGTCAGGAGAGCTTGTTGGCTTCCTGTGATTGAAACAGCCTAGAACAATCTTGGCCCACACTCTGCAGTGATCCTTCAGATCCTTGATTTTGCTGCTGGGAAAACCAAGAGTGAAGATGCAGTTTGCTACCACACCTATATCAGGACACCTATCAGCCATGTCCACACAGCGGACTCCACCACCACTTTGACCTATTAACCTAGCAATGAGGTCTTCAGAAATTATAATCTTCTTTCCCATGACAGAAGAGATGACTAGATGCTTATCAATCTTGGCATGAATCCAAAATTCTTTGACAAGCTCTGGGAAGGTTGGTCCAACCAATCTATCAAAGTACCTCTCCCACTTTTGAGCTTTGACTTCAGCAGTTAGGTCAAATCCATTATCCTTCAAACTTTCGAAATCGATGATCAATTCAGAGAGAACCTCAAGATTCTTGACCGGTGTGAGAAGAGTTCTGGTAGGCGCTTGATATTGCTCAGAGGTTTCTATCTTCTGATTTCCTGCAGAAATGCTGGAGGATGCCATTGTTCTCACACAAAAAGCTTGAGAGTGATTTGAGAAAAGCTAGGGTTTTTGAAGGAAATATGCAGACAAATGCAGAGAATACTTAAGAGATTATGAGAAAGCGTAAAGATTAAGAATGAAGAGTAATGTGCTTAAATAGAATTTTCAAAAATTATTTTTGAAAAATAAAACGTTTTTAAGAGAGAGAAAAAAATAATGATTGCCATTAACAAGCGTGATTACTTTTGCATTAAATGCTTGCTGATTTTGGGGGATTTGAGAAAGATACTTAAAAACGGTTACCAGACATGTGTCTCAATGCACCCAATCAGCGCTTTGCCTTCTCAGAAACGTGCACGCGTTCTGCTTCAGGGATTTGCTGATGATTGGATGACACTTGTTTGATGTAGTGATCAGCACGTCTGTATTTGAGATTAGACTCTCAGATCTTTAGACTTGCCTCTGATACAATCTGCATGTTCTAACTTTCTGAAAGAAGATTGATCAGAAGTTCACAGTAATATAAATACATTCTGAAAGATAAAAATATGGAATTAAAACATTTTCATTCTGGGCATACTTTCATGCTGAGATGTTTCAGAATGAAATTAAACCTGTCTTCTGAAAGGGGTTTTGTAAAGATATCAGCCCATTGATGGTCTGTATCTATAAATTTCAAGTTTAAAATACCTTTCTGAATATAGTCCCTAATGAAATGATGTTTTATTTCTATATGCTTAGCTCTAGAATGTAAAATAGGATTCTTACTTAAGCAAATAGCAGAAGTATTATCACAAAGAATAGGAATGTTACTCTCAAAAATCTGGAAGTCTTCAAGCTGACTTTTCATCCAGAGCATCTGTGTGCTACATCCAGCTGCTGCTATGTACTCAGCTTCTGCTGTTCACAGAGCAATA